CAGGAAAAAATTAATTCAAAACAGGTCTTCTATTTTGCTGAAGTTCCCTTAGCAAATGCTGAGCTTTTGGGGGGTAGGTGGTGGTGGGGAAGAGGGGTGGAAAGGGAACTGTGCCTAAAGGAGATTCGTGGTGGTTCTGAGATCATGTCTGAGAGTGGTTCAGCTCTCTCTGCTGAGGTGCCACACAACCAGAGCCACGGCTCCGTTACCCTCGCATCATTTTGCAGAGCTCTGAAAAATGCAACTAAGCGCTAACCAGTGACCCTTGTTTCTGTGTAGTTGGCTGCCTTCCCAGAGAAGTGACAAGCAGTTCCTACGTAGCCTTTCCTTGTTTCAAACTGGCTTCTTCATGGGGAATGCTTATTTTCTCCCATGAAGTGTAAATAATTTGAATGGTTGATGTTACTTTTGTGCTAGCAGAGCCTCAGATTGTGTGTTCGTTTGCCATATGGCCAGTGTTGAATTGGATTCTTCTTCAATTACATTTAGGACATTTAATTCCTAAGGGATAAGGGGAAGGAAGAACATGTCACTTACAAATGGTCTTCAAACCACGCTCCACGTTTCCAGAAAATTCTCGGTCAATGCTGCTTAATAAATCACGATTAGCAATCTACAAATAAATGAGATTAATATGTGGGTGATGAAATGCAGTAACAACTGCAACCTTAATATAAAATACACTGACCAAGCGCATTTGAAATCAGTGAAGAACTCCTACCCTGGAGTATGCCTCAACTGTTGCTTTCAGTTGGGGAAAACTTCTGCTTGCCAGAACCATATTAAAGCAAGATTCATCAGTCCCAAGTTTTCCTTCACCTGCTTGGTACAGACGCTGAGCATCTTCTTGAGCTTTTTGATAATCCACAGTTTGATTCTCATCCCGATTACCCTAAAAGCAAAGGCAACAGATGTCAAATGAAATTACACAGAGAAGGCTATGCTTTAACTGCTTGCAGTGTAGACCCCAAGCATGTTCTCTTCAAAGCCTGAAGCAGAAAGAGTAATACCAGTTTGAAATACATTACATTGCTTTAAAACTACTCTTTGGTTTCATATTTCTTACAGGTAATAAATACAAAAGTGGCCTAAGCCCTATCTGCAGGGCATGCTGTACACTGCAGATATACTGACTCAGATAATTTCATCCCTGCATACCATCTCATAGTTCTAATTAAGCAAGTACTGTACTTGATTCTCTATTTTACTTAATAATGTAAGCTTTCTCTTGATCTCTTTGTTTCTAGGCTTCAAGTTGCAAAGAATCTTCCCAAACGAACTAATGAATTATCTTACTGAATATGCACACCTGAAATATCTCAGGTCTTCTATTTTATTTAGAATTTGCTAATTTCAAGTAAGAATGTCTCCAGAAAGCACTGACCGTAGTTGTAGTATGCCAGTAGGGCTTATATATGACATTTTATGTGCTTTGGCGTTTTTTTGGGGTTTGTTTGGGGCCTTTTTCTTTTTGCTGCCCAGTGCATGGATGGATACTGCTAAATATACTGGCTGAGCAGGCTGAATACATGCTCTCAAGTACTGTTGTATCTGTAGCAGTTAATATAATATTTAAATGATGTGGTTGTCAGTTATTGTAAACTACTGGATTTATCGAAATAAAAATTAGCAGCATAAGCTCCTCAAGGTTTGCATTCTTGTGGATTTTGACTTTTTAATCCAAATATGTAGTGCATAGCTGAACTCTCACAAAGGTAGAGGCAAACAAGATAGAGAAGTGTCATAGAAATTCAAACAGCAAATAGGCAGAACGATCAGAGGAATGTGGGAAGTTGCATTAGTACCTATTTCTTCCTAAATGTGGACAACTACAAGGTACTGTTCTTCAGAGCAAGAACAGCCCTAGTAAATGATCCCGGATAAGCAAGCTCCGGTGTTCACCTGAGTTCAACAGTAGCACCTCCCTAATTCTGGTGGGGGGAAGGGAAGGAAGGCTGTGGTGTAACTTGGGAGGTAAGTTTTGCCCTGTGGTGCCTCTCGGCTTGCTCATAGGGATTCTCACAGGTATTCTGCGTACCATAAAGGTTATCCTATCAGCTTCACCCAAATTATTTTGTTAATATATGTGACACATAAAAAAGCATCTTGCTTTAACAGCAGGGTGGAGCACTGCTTTATAGTACCACTTGATCACATCTGCACAATAAAGTATTTACATGTACGTTCTCTGATATGAATATAGGGTGCTAAATTAGGTCACACAATTCATCGTCATAGATTGTAGATAGGAAGCACCTCCTCCTTGAGGCGGGACT